GTGTAAGCTTCTAGTACGTATATAGATGTAGTAATTATGCTTGTGTTGATGTTTATATTTACGTGAATGGGCGTGCTATATGTAAGTTTATTCGTATACTAACTTTTGGATGCCTTCTTTTTCTTGAATTGAATAAGTGGGCGGCTGAAAGGATGATCCTCGTAAATGCAAAAGCATACCAATTTTAGAAATAAAAAAGATCATGTGCCTTGTCGAAATATCTTAAATATTATTGGGTGTATGCATTAGTTCGTGCGGTTTTTTTTTTAGAAAATTAAGACTTTATGTAGATCCCATCGGTAGGTGCAATGACTGGGCTATAAGGCGGGTGAGGGCTTTGGGTTATCAAAATTAATTAATTCATAAGGCACCCAATTTCCAAACTCCTGGATGAATCCCAATGATTTCAATCGTCTGGAAACGGTTGCTTGATCAACTCCTAATACCTTTCCAAGTTCCTCTTGAGTCGGGCATGCATCTGCGTCTAGCAATGTCTCCAATTCTTCGTCTTGAAATTTTTTTGGCTGTCCGTCGTCGATGTCGGAATTGCCACTTTTAAACAGTGTAAACCACTTTTGGCATGCTCGTTCGGCTAAAGCATGGTCACCATAAACGTCCAGTAAAATACGATGGCTGTCGGTAGAACTTTTCTTGAATAAAACAAATTGTTGTTCACGCTAAAACAAATAGCATCTACTGAAAACGACGGAAAATGACAGTACCTTTGAAATAAATATAGCCACAGATGAACACGATGTGAAAGAATACTAGTAAAGCCCTCTCTTAGAAACCCCCATGAATTAATGCATACACCCAATACTTTACGAAAGTCACAAGTAAGAAAGTTCTAAAGTTCATGTACCAAACATTATTAGACACCCGCGGACTGTGATGAATAAGGATGAAACCAAAAATCCTATATTATTGGTGTAAGTGGAGCTAACGCCTCATATTTATACCCTAACTTAAGAAAAACGTACGTAAATTTTGTCAAACTCAGCATATGTACAATTGGCTTTTACATGGCTTTACTAATTTGACTCCGGAAAAGAATAAAAAAAAAACTAAATTTTTGTTTATAAAATTGCGTTTATTTTTAAAAAATTTCTAAATATGTAGATGGGCTCGCTTACCGAATATAATGTTATCATGCTTGTCCAGTTACTAAAAATTACTTGTTGTTCAATAACTAACATCTTTTTTCTTATTCTTTCAAATTTATTTGTCATCTATCGGTATGTTTAAACGTTGCACTCTCGAAGAAGTGTTTTTTTTTTTCAAAGCTAAATGCACTTGTCTGTCTTTAACTAATTCTTTCCTAGGTCGAAATGAATAAATTTAAATTACATGTCAAATGACAAACTTAGAAATGTAATTTCAAGAGAAATCCCACGTAGCATAAAATATTTCACGGAAATTGAATTTTAATTTCAGAAAATTATTATTTCACAATATCTAATCAAAAATCTTCTTTGGCAATGTTATTATTGCTGTCAAATAAAAATTACTAGTGCTGCAATTGGAGTTTAAATTCAGAAAATCAACGTGCATACAAATGAATGCACTAACACTTAAATTTTTGTTACTGTGATTACATAAAATTGATTGGCAGAAGCTGGTTAAAGGACTACGAAATTTAAATTTTTTCACAGAAAGAAAATGAAAATTTTGCGAAAATCGCTGCGTTTGAAGCTTTAAATTGAAAATTTACGTAATGCACTTGCACAGTGTCATGTTGTATTTATATTATTATTACATCTTAAGGAATTTGGGCGAATATCAATATAGCGGTTACAAAGCGCCAATTATATTACTGTATACTTCTTATTAATAATAAGTATAAAAAAATGCATATATACAGTCAATTTCATAACTGTATGACTCTAAGTTTCTTCAAAATAACTGAACTGAATTCATTTAAAATTGTTAGTGCAATATTCTACCACCAAGTAATTGCAAAATCCACTTGTTTCACAACAATATTTTTAAGTCCTCGATCCTGTTTTAACAGACAATTCCCACCAGCGTGCTTAAGAATTATAGATGGAATTTCGGCTAAAAATATAAGCAGGTAAACTCAGAAAATCAACTTCATCGCCACTCAGAGGCAGTTATTTGAGGTGATATAGTCTTGAAGCAGCAGGCTTTCTAACATCTCTACGTAACGGTAAAAAATTGCTCAAACAATTTGAAATAAACTCCGCTACTATATTACTGAACCTGGTTATTGCAATAAAAAATAACGCACATCTTGACCTCCACAAAGGACAAATGCAACGATGGAAACGCATCTGTGGTAAAGCGATTCGAAAATTAAACCTACAAGACGGAACTTCCCTAAGAGGGATGAGGTTAATCGATGTATGTTCCTCTTATGGAAGAAAAAGATGGTGTAACAAAGGATGCTTTCTGTGCTTGATGATCTTAACGCAATAGTAAAAGAACATTAAATGGGAAAAGAATATATCTTTGGCACAAGATCCGGAAAATTCAGATTTCATAGCAAAATATTCCTAAACATGTTGAACCTGTCTTCTCCTTGGCCATAAATATGTTTATTTGCAGCACTTGATTCCCGCAAACTCATCTAGCTCCATAGCTATAACCAGATCGAAAATCTCCCACCCAAATTAATCATGTAGAACAGAAGACATATCCCCAGTTTTTTTTTAGTACGTCTGAGATCCCAATGCTGACTTGAATCAATACCTTGTCCCAACTAAGATACGCACTTGTCCCTGTGCAGCAAAAAACGCCCGTTAAGGCACCTAACTACGGGGAAAAAATTCTGCTGTACTTTGACGTCTGATGTCTGAGGGCCCTGGAAAGCAACTAAAAGAACTGTGGAATGAAATTTCGAAAATATCGGAAGATAAGATGGATGAGGAATGTCGAGCTGTAATGGAAAGAAAAAATATTGCCTATCTCGCAGCACTACGATGGCCAAACCTCATACGATTTAGGCACCGAGCTTTGCATAGAAACAGAAACAGACAGAAAAAGCCTGAGGCCAAAATGCGTTAGTACAAAGAGCAAGGGAAGCTGGCCGATAGTGTTGAGAAGTTTTATGAACGACGTTCAGGCTATTTTGGAGGAAGCACGTCTGCAGCAAGCTGGGCAGATGATGTGATAGACGTTCCGTCATTCGAAGATGGCGAAGCACGAACCACGATTGCCGATGGCCTTTCAGCTAAGCTATTCAATATTGTTCTGTTCTCTAGATTATACAGATAAGTACTACGAATGAGCCTGGTAACGAGCGAGTGCAATAGAAATATATATCATAACTTTGAAGTCATAGAAAATTTCGACTATCTAGAAACCAATAATAATATAGGCCTTGAAATCAAGTACAAAATCAATTTTTCTACTTTGAACTGAGTAGGCTATAGAAGTAAATCCTTCTATTGGCTAACAAAGAGCAAACTCTTATAGTCTATATTCTCGCCCTGCTGAGTATATGAGCTTAAACTTCCCATGACTGGGCATTAGAAGTTTTCTTTAGAAAGCTGATGCGGAAAATTTCTGGTACAAAACTAGTAATCTGTACAAAAGAAAAAAAATATGTATTCAAATTATTATTATTTTTTTATTTTCTTTTAACAACTGAAATTTTTATGCCCATATGTACGTGCTTGGCGCAAACGTTTTTTGCCAAATGTGGAATATGCCTTTACTTCTATTACAAAGTGTTGCAGTCGTTCACTATACTTCTCCTAAACTGAAAGCCGTTTCAGTTGAATATTTTTAGAATTTTAAAAAAATTTATCTCAAAACTGATAGATTGAAATGATAACCATATTTCATTTTATTAAGACCTCAATAATAACAAGAAATATGATACTTAACACACGATCTTCTAGAACGTACGAGAAGATATGTACTCGTATGTATATTAGATGATAAGCTTTTTGTCATAACTATATCTATATATATATATTTATAGTGTATAATGCAAATTATAGTGTATAAATGCAAAGCAAATATACGTGTAAGTTATAATTAAAGTCGTTTTACAATTTTATGTAAAGATTATGCCTTCTTAGCTTTCAAAATTTCTAGTTATGCTACTTCAAGTTAATATATTTAATATTCTGCTTGTTAATAAAATAAATAAATTTATTTTTTTTTGTTACACTTAATTATAAAGCTTAACGCCAGGTTTTCTTAATGAAGTGCGTATTACTATGTATACAATGTGCCTATTTATGTTATGTCCTGTTAACTCACTAATTTACTATAACTAAGAACAATATAGTTTTAAAAATATTTTAAGAAAAATTTATTTGTAAAAATATTCACAGTGTTGTTCTGAAATCTGATTTCGATGGGGATGGAAATTAAATCCGATCCGATCCGGTGAGACAATCATGCTCTGAATAAGATCTAATTTATCAGAATCTATGTTCGAAGATATGTTACTTCTTTTAAAATTCAAGTACTAATATAACAACATCATAAAAACAAAGAAATCTATTTCAATAAAAATCTTTAAGTTAATTTCTCCGCGTGTATTTCTGCCATGAAATAAAAGCTCATCAGAGCTTACTGTTTCTTCATTTCTTAAAAAAAATATAATACTAAAACGCGTACCACAAATCGGAGGAGCAGGTGCGCGAAAATCGCTTCAGTGATTACAAAGCCCCAAATATAATATATTGTATATAAGATATTATTTTCATTTTAAGTAATTTCTGGTCTGTTAAAAACATGCAAATCATTTGTTTTTCTTCTTTGCTAATTTTTACTGACAGAAATTTTACCATCACTTGTAACATCTCCTCCAAACTAAAAGTTCAAATTTTGTTCTCTCATTGCAAACTTCACTAGTTTTTGTTTCAATGAACGTAAGAACCGAGCCAATTCTGATCGGATTTCAGAACATCTCCGATAAATACCAGTAAATTTTAATATTGTACCTCAGCATATAATTAATAAAATATATGTATCTCCATTTAGATATTATGCAAAAGAAGATGTTGAAGAAATGTAATACATACCTGCAAGGCTTACACCATTGATTCTGCTGATCTAAGCCAAAACGAGCGCGGCACTTTTTCATGTTATTTCCTAGTTGCATAAGTAATAATGAAAAAAGAAGGAAATTAAGTAAAGTCAAAAATATTTCAGAAGATAGTATCATATTTCCTTACAAACACATATCCGAGTATGTAAATATACAGCATATTTAAATAATTTACTCTACCTCTCCCCCAAATGCAAATGAAAATTCTACTTGTAGTTTTTACAAATATAATACGTGTATATTACATATGCTATATACGAGTATCCATGGACAGAGACTTAACGCACTTAGGACTAAAATTAAAATATGTATTTTTATAGCACATTCATTATCCTTAACACCAACACTCTTTATATACCGCAAAAATACGGCAGTATAATTTTTTTAAATGATGGCACTTAAATTTTTAAAATTGTTTCCATAGCAATGAATATCGTTTTAGCGCACTTAATTGTATTTTAGTCTCTCGTAGAATGCAATGAAACTCAAATATGCTATAGAAAAAAACTGTTCGTTGAATAAGAAACATTACTTGGGATTTTTAAAAAAAAGGTACAAATCTCAACATTCAAAAAGAACGAAACATAAATTAATCGTATTTGCCCTGATGGCAAAACCTCGACAAAAAAAAGAAAGCAATACAGTACATTAAAAAAAGTGCGAGAGAGAAAAATTTAAAGAGTGGAAACCATTTAATATTGGATGAGTGCATAAGTTCGTGCCCGAGTCCGCTGGATGCCGTTCGAATCGTTTGAGAGTGGCGCTCGTGAAAGAAATATATACATATTANGTCAAAAACCACCTTGACACCTTTTTCAATGGGAAACCGCGCGATTTCTATGAATCAGGCATCCGTAAATTGGTTGAACGTCGGGAGTGGATTGCCGAACATGATGGCGAATAAATAATTGATTAATAAAAGCGCTTTCTTCAAAAACTTTCAATTTTAGTTTGCACTTGAAATCGGGAACAAACTTATGCACTCATCCAATGAATGTGTAAAACTTTGTTCTACTTTTGGCAAAAATACAGGAAGCGTGAAATTCTTTTCTTATAAATAATTTACGACTAAGACATCATGCTATTATTCGGAATAACGCTTATAAATATGCGCTAGTTTTTATCCAAAACATTATTAATTTTAATTGAAAGAAGAATATATATTATAATTATTATTGTTGTATATTGTTATTTTGTTACCATATACTCTAAAACTTATGATATTCTATTTCTAAGAGAGTAATAAATTATGTTTATCCAAAAAGAACAAGTTTAAATATTTTTGAAAAGTTACAAAGTGCGCTAAATCTCTGAATATTGATTATATGTATTTTCGTCAAGAAAAGCCAAACAAACGAACGGATTTCTCCAGAAGAACACTCAAACAATAATTACACCGTCACAAAAATATATAAGAGGCTTGTACACCAGACGCCACTTATCTCCGGACAAGACTTTTTACCCGATGAATTAGATTTTTGGTACTAAACTAAATTTTATAGATCTAACGCAAGCATAAATTTCAAGTATTTCAATTCAATTTATAAATATTAATTTATTATTATTGTAAGCGAAAGACCAAAAAGAAAATAATCGTTATATTTTAGCTTAAAATATCGTTCAAACTCAAATAATTCCTTTTTTCCAATTTTCCGGAAAAGCATATAGATGCATACAAGGGGGAAGAGTATAAATCATATGAATGTACTACTGTTAAATGGCGAGAGTAAAATATGTAGTAGTTAATTAACACAATTTAATGTTAAAAAGATTTACGAAGTTAATCTAAAAAATAGTGAATACTTACAATACGTACAAAGGGGAAATGAAAAGACAATTTTGTTTAATAGTGTTAGTTAGAGAAGATGTTCTAATGATATACAATATTTAGATAATGATAAATATTTATATATCTACTTACACATACATATACATACATTCCTATAACTCTATGTTTAGATGAAAAGCAAATTAAAAGCTACAAACATGCCACCAATAAACAATATTAATGCGAGTTTTTATGACTATTATATATACTACATATATTTGTGTTGCTCGCCATATTTTGGATATGTACATATGAGTTATTAAAATAAAAAAGAGTATTGAAAACGGTTCGCAACTTTCCTTAACTAATTGTATGTGTAGGAAAAATAACTTTGCTAAAAAAACTTAATACTGTTACTAATTTTATCGGAGAAACCTTGTCGTAATAAACACTTAAAGTTTTGTATGTAAATGTTACAAACAAACATATTCTTATAATTTCATAATTTTTTTAGAAACTGCTATAGTTTCGAACTGGTTAGTTAACGTTTTATTAGCCGCTATGCTCCTATATAGTTAACAGAAAAAGGAGTTCAACTATTCGAAATTCGTGCTGACAAAAAAAGTCATCATAGTTTTTGTTTTTATCTTTTCAAAATATTATGTATGTTCTTACTGTTAGTTGGAGGTTAAATGCATAATTAGGAAACATTTTATTAGACTTGTAGCTCTTTTGAGAATCGAGTTGAAAAGTCATTTATGTGGTTAATATGGCACCGCATTGGCAGATTAACGATGTTGTTATGCGTTGGTATGGATCATTTTTTCTTTGGGAAAATTCAATTTTAAATATTTATTTCTATCGAAATTTTTATCATTACTTAGGAAACGCCAATTATATACATAATATACATAAGTAAATACATACTAAGAGTATATGAAACAAAATATGTAATGGAAAAAATGATGTTGCGGCTTTTTCTAGTTCTTAAAACGTTTAGTCTTACATCCTTATAATACATATGTTTGTCTATTTATATTGATAGTAATGAGCTAACCTCCGCCACCAGTGTCACTGATGTCTTGCTTTCGCTTCCGTTTCTTGCCCCGTGACGTATTCGTGCGGGAGCTCCAATCCGGATACATTTGCATGTGTAATTGACGCTCACGTCTAGCTAATTCATAATATTTTGCTTGCTCCTCCCGGCCTAAAGCGTGCCACTATTGCGTTAAATGAATTGTTGTACATATTTTTTGTTTGGGGTTTTGTACACATATTTTTTGTAATTTAAAACCGCTCAATAAAGTGTAGTTATGATGGCGTGAAATAGAATTTATTTTAACAATTATTTTTGCAGTTGTCATATAAAGATATAAAAAGAAAAAAAAATATGTTAATAAAAAGCAAATCATAATCATTTTATAGACGTAGATAGCTTTGTTTTTGCTTTTTGTTTTTATTTAATATTTAACGATTTTGGATATATGTATCCTACTAAAATTTTCTTATTGATTTTTGATTAACGTCTAAGCTTTAAAAATTGAATCTTTTCCAAACGGCAGGAGAAATTCCCAAAACTAAATCTCGTATCCATACCATCTAGTTTTTAAAATGGCTAATGCCGTATATATTGTTTATCTGAAACTAAGAACCCCGCATTATTATTTTTCTATATCTTATTTTACTTTACTTGATTTCCATTTACTTGACTTTATTTTACCATATTTTTTACTGTATTTCATTTAACTTTTTTATTCCTTTTATTTCATAATATTTGATTTCGGTTTATTTTATTCTATATAACATATTTTATAATGTTTAATATAATTTAAAAGCAGAAGTGGTGTCATAAGTACAATAGGTTTTGAGTTGTTAAGCCTCACACGCATTTTTTGGTGTATAAGACGAAAGGTTGTTTGAGACTAATATTATACGAGTATACTAAATGTATACTATTGCATAACTTCCCCATATATTTTCCAAACCTGTCACTGTGTATTACATTGTGGACATGCAGAATAGCATGTAACTATTATACTAATATTTGTAGTTGTTTTTATTAGTTTAGACGTCAAAGTAGCATTGCAAATGCTTCTTCAATCCAATCTGAGAAAGTTCATTCCAAGTTTCTTAGTTAAAAATTGTTTGTAATTATATTATATTGTAATTAGTGTCTATATTTTCAAAATAAGGACTTTAACTGCAAATGAGCTATACCATCCAATGTTTTTGCTCGGTCCAAGTCTAATGAATTTTTGATAACGAATTTGAACTTTTAATAACCAATAGTTCAGTTAGGTGCTGCTGTTTATCAACCACAGTTCAAAATATAAAGTTCACAAACGGTGACTCGGTGCACTATCTTGTCACATCCTCTGTACCTCAAGGGAGGATTGTATATGTATATAGAATGGAAGAAAAAACAATGTTTTGGTAAGATCTAAGGGTAAGCTTGTACTACCGTATAATGGGTAAAAGCAACCCATACTGCAAGTCTATTATCTTAAAAAGTGCCTTCCAGACTGTGACTTTGAAGGAGAAATATATAGACAGAATGTACCAAAATGAACGCAAGATTTAAAAATGCCTCCACTCATGACAACCCTAAATAAAAAATAAATAAGACAGCTGATATTTCAGTGTAGATTGTTTATGTAAAAGATTTTGCGGACGCAGCACGAAAGTTTCATGCAAAATATGGTCGGAAAAATGACTTCACTTTCTCAACTCCGAAGAAATTGATTAAAAATTCGGAGACAGGGTCCGTTAGAGACGCTAACCACACTGGTCGTCTAAATTTTATTTCGTTCAAATAACAATATCGAAGCAGTGCGTGATAGTATTGGGGACAACCCAGGAACCTCAATTCTGCGTCGTGGGCAATAATTGCAAATTTCAAGAAGTTTTCTATAGCGGATACTCACTAAAGATTTGTGTCTCCATGCTTACAAAATACACAATGACTGAAACCTTTTTATTCTATCCATCTCCAACTTTGAGTTAATTTAGAGATACCTTTTAAAAGAAATTGCTTGTCTGAAGCTAATTGATCGTGTGGAATGCACAAAAACGGGATCCGTTAAAAAATCAACCGAATATTAGGAGTATGTATCCACCATTTACCGTGTGTTAAATATTTTTCGAGCCTTGGAAAATAGCCGAGGGTATGTAAAAACATTGCAGCTCTGTCGCTTAGGGGCTTTCAGATGGAACGACGCCAAATCAATAAAAAGAAATTTTGTATTTCCGATTAGGGCCTACCAGAAATATGCAATAGGTCGTGTACGCTATTCCTAGTCAGCCATACAATATATGTATTTCGTGAATGAATTGTAGTATTCTGTATAGAGACAACCATTTGGATGGTGGTCCATTGCCGTCATATGCTAATACAGGCTTACGCGGCACCCTAATTACATTGTTCGTCTCTTAATCGTAATTCACAGTTCAAATACATGCCGAGTTTCATCGCCACACATAAGCTAACTAGTCGAAAGTGGTTGAAGCTTAAAAGACATAGAAGGATATATACATACGCGTTCTAGGAGTTTCAGGAAAAGTCAGAAATAAGAAGTTTATATGCAAGGAGATCTAAAATGAAAAGCTTATGATCACTTGATACACATAATAGCCCTACAGTTCGGCTGCTTTCAAGTGATTACCAGAGCGCAGAATTGACTAACGATTTGATGCACTACTAGTAAGTACACAGTAGTTTCTTTAATGATTGGGAATACAAGGACGCCGTCGAAGATTGAATTAACGGAAAAAAGTCTTGAAAAATTATAAAATAACATGTTACAGCAATTTTTTGTTCGTTACAATGACGCGCTAGTCAAATCAAATCGCATTAACAACAATAGACAACGGACTCCTGTAGTGAAGGGAAATATGAATGCTTGTTGTTAGTACATATTACTCTGTTGATTTTTGTTGTTGTATAATTCATTTAATGTATTATATTTTAAATAAACGAATGATTGTATGATTCATCTAATGGTTGGGCAAAAAATTGCTAAAAGGCCTTTATCACCTTCTGGACGCTCTTATTGGTAAGAACAAATAGCTTATTAATTACAATAGTAATAACAAAAATATTCAAATTATTTTGAAGGATTAATTGCGCAAAGCACTTCAGCACCAAAAAAGCGAGAGATTAAAAAAAGTTAATTACCAAATATGAAAAACATAATAATTATTCAATCAAAAATTTTGAAAACAAATGAACATAAGAATTTACATTTATAGTTTTTTTAAACCACTTTTTGTAATGAATTAGTGAAGCCGCAAGCGATTTTGAGTTAGTGCGGCACTGCTTGATTACTCTCGTAGAATATTGGATTGCAAAAATCGTTAGTCAAAATAACATTGCGAATAATCCGCTGGTGACCGGTACTAATAATTAGGAACTAGTTAAATAGTAAAGATTTCTATACCGAACTACGGGAAATTCACAATACTTTATGTGATTATATTTGTCGAGTTTGGATGTTAGGTCAGAGTGAGCTTCAAATATTATTCTAAATTTAAAGGTGATTGAGATATCGGCGGGAAGCTCATGAATTCGACGAATATATAAGCAAGTCGAGGGGATTTCATATACACTTACATATATATGTAGTATGTATATACATTAATATGAGCCTAAAAATTCTTGAAAATCGCTTCCCTTGCCGAAAACTAATGTAGGATATCAGATCCATCAGCAGTAACGTTATAATCTAGTGCATCATTACGTTTTGTTCTTTGCGTTCACATTCGATACTTAAAGATGAATTGAAAATCAGGTTCTCACTCAAGAAGTATTGCGGTTTAATTTTGAAACGATGTTTAGAACTTGCTCATGATGATATATAAAAAGAATCTTCATATGCAGACATGAATACCTATGTAATAGCTGCTAATAACTGTCCGACTGAGCTATACATATTAAGCTGGAACTACCAAAAAACATAGCGACTCAGCTGTCACAACATATATCCGTAAAATTGGTTAAGCTTTTTGCTTGCTGCCTTACAATATTGCCATTATTGACTTTTCACACGAATATTAAATTAACCTAGAAAATGCGCAGTTTTTCAAAAAAAATTAAAACTGAATAGGTAATCAATTATTTATTACCATATATATCCTGTATTTATATTTGATTGGCGTTTATATTCGAACATATAATTTTGTGAAATTCTTTGACGAAAAACATAAATTTGTTTAAAAGTACGCAAGCACAGTGGCACTTGGCAACAATTCGTCGTTAAGCGTCGATAATTTGTGAATGCATGTTCCAGTCGGGTGCAGGGAGCTATGTAAAATGGGAAGTTGGGCTATTATACAAAGCTTACGTACATATATAAAATTATAGGAATTGTTAGTTCGAACTTTTTTACGAAATGAAAATATTTGTGTTAAGTAAATATATGCATGTATCTTTGCCTACTGGTAACGGTATAATATTAAATGCTCTCAAAGGCATGCAAAGCTGTTAGTAAAAACAATATTTAATTTTTTGGAAAAATAAATATCTGTGTGTAGGCAAGTGTAGGAAAATTTTGATACATTAATTTAGCAGGAACAAACATTTGCTACCAATTATATCTACCAATTCCAAGCAAATATGTAATTAAAAAATAATTGTAAAAAAATACTAAACTGACCAACTACATATGTACCTGCATACAAATATATATAGTTAATTTATGTATGTGTTTACGTACATATCTCAGGCTTCTTACAAGTATATAAAATAAAGCTCTGTCTACAAGATCTATTATATATCCTCGGTTGTCCCCAGACCGGAGACGAAAAACATATCCAACATAAGTCTGAGATCTTTTCGTACCAGAGATGCTAAACAAACGTAACGATATCATTCCGTATCGCTTGCAAGAAAAATTAATTAAATGAATTGAAATCGTTAGACATTATCTGTTAATGATAGCTCTTCGTTACGGGTAAAACGAAAAGAAATTTACATGTGTGCGTCGTCATTACCAATGCGAAAAACACGAGAGCGCTTTGCGCGCGTAAAATATATATTGAATAAAGACGACAGGTAATCAGATTGCATTACGGAGTATCTACGACTAACATTACATTGAACATACTTGACAATATCGAATACAATCTGTTTTGGTGAAAAGCTGATATGCATATATGATATTCTTCATTAACCTAATTTATGTTAGCTCAAACTTCTACACGTCTTTTGGATACCAGCAGCAGAGCTCCCCAACGAAAGGAAACTGTCTTAATTTCAGTTCCATCCATGTTTTGTAAACGAATATAAAATTTATTGCGCACTTGAAACTCCGTATAGCAACGATCGTTAACACACGTCGTATAACCAAAACTGATAGCGAGACGACTATAGAGGATTAGTCCAATAGGTACTCAAATGGAACATTGCATTGATAATACCTTGGGAGTATATTTAATCCGTCAGCCCTGAATAATATATCATATCAATTAAGTATATTGTTGAGCTTGACGATGCTGTCGTTCGTATAGATATCTGATATAAACATCGATCGATTAATCGGTCTTAACACTGGCGTTGAGCGCCAATCCGAGGAGAGTGTAAGTAAATTAAATAAAATTATATTAAAAAGGTTTTGATATGAGTTTTACTTCTGTTTAATTGATAATATTCTTCATTAACCTAATTTATTTAATTATTATCTCATTAATATTTTCGATTTGTTATAAACATTTTTCTAACGCTTTATTCAAACATCGTCAAGTATACTCGTACTAAACAATACCTATCTCACAAGTAATCTTTCTTCTTACTTGCTATATTTGTGTAAGTGTGAGCTTCTCTAAAACTTGTCCTGTTAGTATGCACATAAAAACTAATTTTATTAATATTAAAAATATAATAATAAAAATATATAAATGAGCTTTCCAATTTCTAGTATTTATAAATTATATAAAAAGAAATGAGAATAAACATTATAGTTCTAACGGGAGAGTTAATATATTGTAAATGTATGAAATATGTAAATATTTCACTACTATCAACAATTAAAAATAGTGGATTATGTAAAATAATATATATATATACTTCGTTATTTTTGTTGCGCTTAATTCCTAAATAAAACTTATTTGTTATTGCAATACCTCCCGAATCCGCGGGTGAACGGTCTTTTTTACGTTTTTTCTTTTTAGAAACATAACCGTAGTTGTCTCGTGCGCTCCACCCCGGATATAATTCCATGTGTAACTGGCGCTCTTGTCGCGCTTTTTCGTAATATTTACTTTGCTCTTCACGGCTAAGTTCATGCCACTACAGTTACAGTTAACGAATTGTGACAGTGCGTCGGTAGTTGTGGTGATGCGACGAAGAGATTATTACGCGATCGTACCGAGTAATATTTGGTTATTCAAGGTGTTAGATGTGATATATGTAAGTGTGGATCCAACCAAAGCCAAATTGCGTCGAATTCATTTTGAAACAGAAAATAAAAGCAAAAAACGAAAAACAAAAAATCATTTCAATTTCGATGTTACATAATTTAAATGCTACTTGAATTTTGAAAAATAAAGTTGAATGAATGAAATTTTTTTTCGAAACCAATAAAAACAAACCAACCCACACATCACATCCTCGTGTATGCATACAGATGTGTGTTTGAGTGTGTGTATCTATGTGTAGGGTTTTCTAGATTGAATGTATGCATATTCCTTTTACACGCTTCATAGCTTACTCTTCTAAAAAAAATGTAGGCCCCACTTTATACTGTAATTTTAAGTTTCTCATTTCCTCATGATTACTGCTTTCAGTCTGTTCAATAAATTAGTAAACAGAATATGAAAGCTCGTTCGCTTTACAACATCATCATTACTACAAATATGTACGAAGTTTGTTCAAAAAGTATCGCGAATTTTGTGTTTTTTCAAAAATCATTTATTTATTTGTCGGCATTAGTGACAGACATGAATACCAACATAACGCCACAAAAAAATCGAGATTCGATCAAACGTAACCGGCGAAAATTAAAAAAATCGCGATACTTTTTGAACACACCTCGTATATAAAGTAGGATGGGCCAAATTTATGATTTTTTTCTGGATCCGACCAAGAGCAATGATTGAAAAAAAGTAAAATTGGGAAATTTAACAGTATATTTATCAGCTATTCAAATATACCTATTTCTCCCAAAACCAGTCAAAATTAAACAAATTAAACGATCAACAAGACAGGAGATAGAAGGAGCCACTCGCATTAAAATGCAAATTTGTACTGCTATTCACAGTTTCACAATAATTTTCAAACGCAGTGAGCATAAACGGAATCAGACGAAACAGTTTTTCGTGAATATGGTTACGTAAGTATAATATGTATATTTAAATGTAATTATAAATATGTAATTTATAAATATCTTACAATATATTCTGCTCAGTTATACGCGTTGCTTATAAAATATGTGAAGATTTGATTTTCAATGTTCAAAAGCACATGGTTGCATTTTGATATTTTGCAAACCAAAGATGCTTCGTTTTATTTCGAGGAGGAGCCCGGCCGAAAATCGCCGCAGGTACAAAGCGCTAATTATATATAGATGAAAGTGTAGCCGAAGACCTGAATGTTTCTATTTCTTAACGATCGCAAAAGCTGGGACTTTTAAACGGCACATTATCAGACTTGCAACTATATATAATATATAGTTGCCGCTATTTAACCGTTTAGGCGATTTCCGGCCGAGTTCCTTCTCCAATTTGTGGTTTTGCGTCTTGTAGTTTTTCCAACAGATAGAGGGACCTACAGTTTATACTAAGCCGCTTCTAAACAGCTGATTCGTTTTTTATGAGGAGCTTTATTTAATGACAGTAATACACTCAGAGGGGTTGACATTTCCTGCCAAGGGGCGACCGCAATTAGAAAATTTAGCTTAATTTTTATTTATTTCAATAAATTAATTTTCTGTAAGTTTTTGGATGTTAGTACGACACCAGGATCTGAACCCGAGTCTTCCTATTGGCAGTACGCAATGCTAACCACTCGGCTACCGCGGCCGTTAGCTAACACACCAACTGAAACCATTTTACTATCCACAACGCCATACCACGGCTTAGCTCTTGAGCACTTTAAATCCATTCCATTCAGCCTGTTATGGCTGAGATTACTGCAAACGGTTCGAAGTTTGCAAAAATTTCGGATGGTGGTCATTTGAATACAGTGCTTCACAGTACCAAGGTTCAAACTTTTTAACAAAAACGAAGATCCAGACAAAATATTTTAAATGCCTTTTAATTTACAGTTTTTGGATGTACATTTTTCCCCAATGTTGCAGCGATGTTGTCGGCTATCTTAGGAGTATTTATTCTAGGATTTTCGTCACTTCCTTGATGATAAAACTAACATCTCGCCGGGATAACTTCTTTTGACGCCCAGATCTTGGCATATTTTCTACGGATTTGTGTGTTTTTACTTAGAATAGAATATTTTGTACACTCGCACAAGCTATATCAAGAATTATTCCTATACGTCGATAGGATTTTCCTTCTTGGAAATGCTTAGTTATTAAATTTTTAACACCTTGAGAGTGGTGTTAGAAATTTAATAATTAAGCATTTCCAAGAAGGAAATTCTGTTTTCTTTTTACAATTTTTTCACGGTTGAAAAGGAAATCACGACCAATACCGAGTAAAAATACATAAGTTGCTAAATCAATTGCGGCTTTAAATATTTCTTTGGATTACATAGTTGACTAATTATTCGCTTTAAATAAACTGCATTCTCACATTTACCCCAAAATACTTAATTTTAATAAAAAATGGAATTTTATAGGTGTATTTAAACTTTTATCTTTGTCTGTGTATGTCTTAAAAAAAAGATAGTAAAGCTAACACATACGTTACAAAGAAATCCAAGAATTTATAATCGTTAAAATACCTCTTTTTTCAAAAAATATTCAAATATGTGCAATTTAAGAGGCCAGCCAATAAGGACAATCTACCCGACTTACAGAAATTTTACGACTTCAGCATACTCATGTTGGAGCCATTGATGTGATCTGGTTACTGATTGATGTCCAGAGCATACTGTGTTTCTGAAAAAAACACTTCTCCAGTCTGATTAATTGAAGTGCAAAATGCAACGACAGGAAAAAGCGCACCAGAACCCTACCGGCGCAGAAGTTTATTTATGAAATATTCATGAGCTTTTGCATTAATATAATTCAGGAAAGTAAGAGATAGTGGTTACGTTTGGTAGGCCATGCCATCTGGATGAGTAAAAACACTCCATATTTGAAAACTCTCTATGCAGTATCTGCTGGTGGAATCAGAGGAAGACTGACTAGGGCCCCATTTCGAATGAATGATAAAATGGGCAACTTTTTTTTTTACCCAAATGCCAAACTAAAAGATGTTTTTTTAGACGAGCGGTTTTTAGTGAGGCAGTGATATTCTCGGAGTTAATTCGATAATTCGAGCAACCATGGCTCGATATCGCACCACATTTATATATATGTAACTAGCCATACCCTGCACCGCTTCGCTATCGTACATGAAAATGTGAAAAATTAATCATGGAATATTCTTTAATCATAACTTGATTTACTCAATACATGTGGGTATAAAAATTTTTTGATTTTACCATTGACATAGGCCCACTATTCCTGCTAACCTAAGCAAAAAGGAACTTATAAACAGGGTTTCTCCAACACGTAAATCCCTGGTCCACTTCCCGGAGAGAAGAGTAGTCCGCTTTTTTCAATAGGTCAGCCCCGCTCCACTTCCCTGGGAGAAGAGTAGTTTTCCTGTTCATATAAGCAAAAAGCCACGTATGTACCGAATTTCAAGTAAACCAAACGATAAACACAATTTGCTCCAATAGGTCAGTCCTTGGTCCCGTCCCCGGAGATAGGACTAGTCTTCCTGTTAGTCTAAACAATAAGCAAACTATGTACCGAATTTCAAGTAAACCAAACGACAAAAACTTTTTTTGTCTTTGGTCCAGATCCCGGAGATAAAAGTAGTCTTCATTTTAATCTAAGCTAAAACCGAATTTCAAGTTTATAGTAAGATAAGTCCAGTTCTTTAGAACCTGGTCCACTTCCAGGAGAGAATTATAGTACTCCTGTTAATCTAAGCTAAAAGCCACATATATACTGAATTTAAAATACATCGAGCCAAAAATAAACTTTTTTCGAATAGATCACTTCTTGGTTCACTTCTCAGAGATAAGAGTAGTCCGATTTCTCTCTCTCTTTCTCTGATCTGCTTCCCGCATATAAAAATAATCTTCCGGTTAATCTAACCAAAAATCACCTATCGAAACCATGAATAAGAATTTTGTGAATAGGTCAGTTCCCAGTCCACTTATCGTAGAGAAAAGAAAACTGCCTGTTAATCTCAACAAAAATCCACCTATGTAACCAGTTTCAAGAAACTATAAGCAAGATTTTCCCGATTAGATCAGTCCATGGTCCTTACTTACTTACACAATTATAGCCAAGTTAACAACATTGCGCCATTCGTTTCTTCTTTTCCCTGTTTGGCGCCAATTGGAACTACTGAGGACACACAGGTCATTATCTACCTGATTCTTCCAGCGAAGTGGATGTCTTCCTTCCCCTGATTGCACCGGCGGGTACTGCGTCGAAAATTTTTAAAACTGCCGAATTCTTATCCATCCGTATTACACGATTTTGCCAGCGTAGCCGCTGTTTCTTGATTCGCCGAATTATGTCGTTGTCGCCTTATACCTCATACAGCTCATCTTTCTATCGGCTGCGGTATTCGCCATTACCAAATCGAAGAGGACCGTAAATCTTAAGCAAAACCTTTTTCTCGAAAACTCCTAAAGCAGACTCATCAGATGCTGTCATCGTACATGCTTCCGTACCATAGAGCAGAATCGGAAAAATGAGGGACTTGTAGAGTTTGGTCTTCATTCGTTTAGAGAGGACTTTACTTTTCAACTACTTAATCAGTCAAAAGTAGCACCTGTTGGCAAGAGTGATTCCATCTCGGATTTCCAGGCTGGCATTGCTGTTGGTGTTAATACTGGTTCCAAGATAGACGAAGTGATCTACGACCTCGGAAATTATGACTATCAACAGAGACGCGGGAGTCTGGTCGCAAAATGCAATGAAAGTAGAGCTCACGCCGCGGTTGTCGAGGCCAATAATGACAACATCATCGGCCGTCGCCAGCAGTCGTACACTCTTATAGAAGATTGCACCTTCTCTATTCAACTCCAGCTCGTATTTATTTCTCCAGTAATAAGTTAAAAAAATCATACGAAAAGGAATCTCCCTGTCTAAAACATCGTTTGGTATCAATCAGCTTTGAGAGAACGTTCCCGATCTAGACGAGTCCTTTAAGATATTTGGCGCATGGTTGTTGATAGACAAAATAGTCGCAATTGGGCCTTATCAGTGTAGCTTTATGCCTTGTAAGTCAACCATTGACCAGATATTCACCGTGTGCCTATTTCTGGAAAAAAATATTTCAGACAGGATGACTCTTTCGTATGATTTCTTCAATTTGATGCTGAAGGGAATAATATAAGCTTCAGAGCTAAATAAAGTGCAACTACTGCCGTTTGCCGAGGATATTAATATCATAGGCCTTCACAACCGCGATCTGCTCTCTGAATACTTTGTAAAGAAGCGAAATATCTCCTACCATCAAACAAACAGTTATCGCGCTCGCGACTCGGCTCCCACGTCACTGTTGGCAGCCATAATTTCGAATCCGTATACAATTTCTTCTATCTAGGAATAGTCTGCACATGCCGGCGAATGCGGCAGGCGATGGAACGAAATACGATAACTGATACTTATATAGCTTAGCGAATGAAGAGACAGCGGCTGCCCTGGCTACTTCACGTCGGCCGAATGGATGAAAACACTCTAGCTTTGAAAGAAAAGTAAGCATATTAGTATCCAATGCAGTACCTGCTGGTGAAAGACGTACACTCCTTCGGAAGAATCAGATGGATACCGACCTGATTCCACTTTGTATTTTGATCTTCACCATACAGCAAATAGAAGGAATGAATGGCGGTCTCTTGTTTGTTCGGCAATTATGGCATAAGTGGTGCCGACCAAAATCTTACGTTCAATGGGGAACGTTATAGAGCCATTATTAAAGACTTTTTCGTGCCTAAATACGAGTTGATGTCGACGACTTTTACTTCAAACAAGGCGGCGTTGCATGTTATACAGCCGACGAGATAATCAATTTGTGGAAGGAAACTTTTGGGGGACGCTTTATTCCGCGTTGTGGGCTACGCGTCTTCCAAGATGGTGCAATTTAGCACCGGGGGAAAATTTTTTGAGGGGTTATGTGAAATCGCTTGTCTATAAGAGAATATTTGACGCGTTATTGCCGACATACGGTCCCAAATTTCGGGTTGCTCGGCTGGAAATTATTCGAACCCACTGCGGTTACTTGCCCGAAACCATTTTTAAAACATAATGGGAAACCTTTGTCTTTAAAATACAGCTAAAGTCTTGCTCATAGAATTAAATTATATTTGTCTCATTTCTTCTTGAAAAACACATGTCTAAAAAACACCCATACAAAAAGTTCTGTTTACTTTTTTACGGACATATTTGATAATGAGAAATCGAAGATCGGATGGGTACACAATTCATAATCTTACACGCAACAATCTGTTGTTTTATCAACAGCTGGCAGATCTGTTCCCAATTATTTTACTAATTAGAAAAATTACCTCACTTGTTATGTACTTGTCTGACTTACCCTTCGGCCAAGTATTTGATTTATCGCCGCTGACTCTTTTAATGTGCATTCAGCGACAACTTTGGCGCGCATCTCCTTCATATATAGCATGAACGCATTCAATGGCTTTTTGATATGCGGTTTCTTTTTTTCATTTGAATTGTCTTTGCACTCGCTTCCCTGTTGATTGGCTGCTGAGATTTTGCTATCCAAATTTCTGCAAATATATAAATAAATCAAGATGTTTTTCTTGTAAGTAAATACTTGTTGAATACTAATTTAATTTACTTTATTTAGGCTAATACAAAGAAATGAAATTAAATCAGCTGCCAACACGAGATAAAAAATAAGCATTATATTTGGTAAAAGCTTTGAAAGGTGGAAATACGGCACATTTTATAAGATGTTTTGTATTATTATTGCTTTTCGGCCGAGCTCCTCCTCCAGGTATGCGTATTGATGTTTTTTCCAAAAAATTAATCTAAGCCGCCTTAGAATGGCCGACGGATTTTTATGACAAATTTTTATTTCATATCTAAAAACCCTCGGAGGACTTGACATTCCCTTTTAAAAATCGAATAAAACAAAAAAAACATAATTTTATGTTTAAAAAATTTTCTAATATTTTTGAATGTTGATTGGACCAGGACTCGAATCCTGGCATTCTGAGTAGCAGTTCGCAATGCTAACCAATCCGCTATCCTTGGCCATAAATCAATCACCCATTTTGTCTGCGTACGTATATACATGTAAAGCCAATATAAATAAAGATAAAAACAAGCTCAAGGAGCGGTTTGGGCGGTGCCGTGAGACCAAAATAGTGAGAGTCTTATGGGTTTTTTTGACTTACTCGTATAGTGACAGAACCATCCAGAGATATTTATATGTGGGAAAGAAAGGGAAAAGAAAGAAAACGATGGCCCCACAAAGGTCTTTCAAGAAAAACAGTTGAAAAAAGCTGTCTTCGGAAATGCCGAAGTCTTTATAATGTGCCTTTTAGGAGTATAATATAATAAATATTAATGTAAATTAGTTATTTATTATAAATCTCATCGTCTTTCAATTGGTTAGTAAAAATCAGTTGTACGGAAGCTGAGTGAATAATTTTTTTTGCACCCGAACGGCTAACCGGACATTTTAGGAGCTCGTTATCCAAATCAAAACAATTTAAATAAAAATGATTTTATTGTCCTCGTTTGGACCAAAGTTATTTCATGTTTATAAGAGATATACAAATAAAAATAAGTCATTACGTTTGCTTGCTCCTTCTGCTGACACTTAAATCGTACGGGCCATCTGCAGTGTCAGCGGCTGTAGCGTTCAAAACCGCAGCTGCTGTGAGGGCATTGAAACGTGCTTTGAAAATATTATTAAAAGCCTGCTCTTGAAAAGCCACTACTGCTGCTGCCGCCGTTGCGCTGGTGGTGGTTGCGTTGCTGCAAGAGCCTTTGAGACTAAATATGCCGTCACTATTCGTGGTACCTCTGCTTCCATTGTTGTTGCCGTTGCAATCACTGATTTGTGCTTGTTGTTGTTGCTGCTCTATGCCATACTGTTTCTGTTGTTGCTTGTTGATGTTTTTGTGACCATCATTACGGACCGGCGACAATGTTTCCGCCATGGAATGATTCGCATTTAAGCTCTCCAGCTGTTTGCTTGTTTCGGTTTTGCTTGAAGCGCTATTATCTCCAACATCGCCAGTAGTAACATTACCGATGGTGTCGCATTGACGAAGCATGTGTATATTTGACTGATTGTAAAATAGGAAGTTTTGATTTGTGTTTTTTTGTGTTAGAGTTGCCGCGGGCGTTATTTCAATGCGACGCGCGTAGCGGGATTTTCGGCGACTTTTTTCCGGTGTGTTCAGGGGCGGCGTCGGCGTGGTGGTTGGTGTAGAAGTTGGAGTCAAATTCGGTGTTGAATTAGTGGTATTTGAGTTCATTGTCGTGCTGATTAGTTTTGACGATGTGCGTAATGATTTAGTGCCGTTCCTCTCATTTTTCTCACTATTTGCAAGATTAGAACATTCATCTTTGCTGACAGAATCGGCGGAAGCAGGCGTGGCTCGATCAGGTCGCACGGTCCCAGGAACAAATGCACTTTGTAGGAATTCACTACTTAGCGACATGTATTTAGAATTTACACCAAATTGACTGTTTGATTGATTATGGTAACGCGAGGAAGGCCCTTCATCCTTACTCAATGTATTAATTGCAAAAGCAGGGTCGCACATATTTGCTTGCACAGTCGATGCCGCGCATTCCAGTATAATCTCAACTGCGGTCGGCGTGTGCTCATTAAAGCTTAGACCATCGTTTTCTGGATGCCAAAAGCAAATAGGTGACACTGCTGCAGAACTTGTTTTATTCACATTAACGCCGGTGGAAAATGTAGGTGTTACTTTCCCTCTGCCCTCGACTGTCGCGGCATCGTGCAAGCCATATATAAACGATTTTTGGCGTTCGTTACAGCTAACATTGTTACCTTTGTTTCCATCCTCGTTCTGGTCAGAGTCATATTTATTTTCGCCTTCATCATTTACGACGCCTAAATCAGTTTTGCAGACTTCGTTTACGTAATGCTCGATACCAAGCTCGATTTGTAGCAACGTCTGAGGAGGATGTGAGATTTCAGGTGAGCTCTCACACACATAAACTTTTTTTCTTTTATCATCATCAGCGTCCTCTGATTTAACATAAGTAGTTACTGGCATCGCCTCCACATCGGCAGCGGCTGCTATAGCGGCGACTACAGCTGCACGAGCCACCTTATTCGTAGCAGAGTTTTGCGGACGCGTTTGTGACTGGGTACACAACTTCGATGAGTCAGAAGTATGCAGACGACGCATCGCCCGCTCGTAATAGATCTTCGCACTGGCGCATTGCCGCCTCAGCTGACTTAGTTGTGCTTGAGTACTATGAATTAGCTGTTGACGTTGCTGCATATTTTGCTGCACACGAGTCCTTATATGCGAGATTAATTTGTTAGATGAATTTTTCCCGCGATGAGCGATATACGTTAATTGATGACTAAACGTTAAAAATTTTTCAAGTTCTAATTGGGCTTGTGTGATCGCTGCCTCCTGTGCAGATAACAGATCGAAACCGCTAAGTTTTGTGTTATTAAAACTGTTATTGGTGTCGACTTTACTAGCAAAATTGGCTGTTTTTGAAACCCGCTCTGTTTTGTTATCACTGTTACTGAAAGCGGATTGGCCTCGATTGTTTTTTCTGGTATGCATCACATTTGCCACATTGGACTCTGCCGAGCTCTGTTTCAAGCTGCTGGGTATAAGGTCTAATAAGTGTACTTCTCGATCGTTTAAATGTTCACACTGTTTTAGAGCATTAGGATGTAATAGACGCGAGTAAAGGATCTTTTTAGCTAATTGCTGATTTGAAGTTAGTTGTTGCTGTTGCTGCTCTAAACCTGTGGCTTGCTGTTGTTCTCGTTGTCCGGCGAGCTGCGGCGCGTGTTTAGAATATAATGATGTTTTACATTCTGCGCCTGAGTTTCCAAAGCCAAATTCCGGTACTTCGTATGAGGAATAATTTGACACAGCGCTGTTTTTGTTTGTAAGATTATCGATGAGAGGCATGAGGGGAAGTGGTAGTGGTAGCGGTAACGGCAGCGACAACGACAACGGTAGCGGCAATTGCAAGGGAAACGTCATTGATGAGGAATTTGGTATCAGCTTGTGCGTTTGGTCCTCTTTCTGCAAGACGGGTGCAATATCCGGTATTAGTTGTTTCTGCCTTTCATAGTCGTCCTGGCGCAAAATTATTTCCGTGAGCAAAGTGAACGCAGCATTAGACGCTGTTGGCTGTTTGATTGCACCTTCTGCAGTTAACAATGTTGACCGTAAGCCGAGTTTTTCATTCGACAAAACCTCTAACACACTATTGTTATTCTGCAAATGATTACAATCGTTGCTAATTGTCTGCTTCGTATTTTCAGCAACGACATTGAAGCGTGGAGATCCTCGAGAGGCTGCATTTGGCGCATTTGTATACGTGCGCTGATAACACTTTGGTATGACTATATCCGTAGGTAAGAGGTTGGCAAGCAGCTGATTGTTTTTTTCCATAGTCTTTGGAATGCCGGTCATTGCGTCGTTATCTTCCTTGGTTATAGTTGTTGGCACTGCTGGACTACTATTTTTCCGCACAATCTCATTGTTATTATTAGTTAGCGCTTGCGTCAAACGCAAATTAGTTTGTGGTATGGTTTTGTATAGCACTGCCAAGTCGCCACTAAAGTGCTCACCGTATATTGACAGGTTTGAGATCTCGTGTATGTTGGTCGTGTCACCTTCAACTTTTATTCCTCTACTATTACTGCCAGCACTATTATTTATTGAAACATCTGTGCTTGCTTTTAATTTAATATTTACCATTGTATGATTAGTAGCTTGTGTACCATCATTTGCTTGCGAAGGAGGTTTGTCCATTGGCTCTACAATCGTCGTTGAGTTAGCATTGTCGTTGCGTACAAAATGTGCATTCTTGACCGCTGATGAAAGGAGTTCATATTCTCTGAATGCAGCGCCATCACAGCGTGTAATATTAAATAAATCCTCTGAGCCACTAATTTTTCCTTCAAAATGATGATTGTCGATGAAAGCGCTGATACTGTTTGTCTCTTGTAAGTTACGAGACCCCGTGAAATCTTCCGAACCTTTGTGTGGTTTTAGTTCATTATCTTTAGTAGCTGACAAATCTCCAAACTTTGACTCAGCATAGCTGGGCTGAAGCGTGACGAACGATTTAAATATTTGCTTAGAATACTGGGCAAAATCATTACTGATCGGAAGGCTACTGCCAGATTGCTTTTCCTGGTTAATGTCCGAACTATTATTAATAAAGTTGCTGTCTCTGTTGTTTTTAATATTATTGCCACTCGCGCAACTAAGAGTAGCAGACATGGCATAGTCGGTTGCAGCAAGCGTCATGGGTTCTGACTTTACTTGACAACACTAATCTGTGTTTGCACTAAAACGCCTAATGTCGAGACCAAAAAGGTCGTTTCAGGTATTGATGTCGCTGAACTCGTTACAGCATTGACAGAAGGAATAGATTGAGGCACTGGCGTTGATGACAACAGCCCACCTGGTTGCACAGGAACTTCTGTTAATTTTTCTAATGTTAACTGTTGTTTCAATATCGACGATAAGCGCTTGCTTAAAACTACGCCACAATTTTTACTTCAATATTCACGGTTTCTATATTTGCTATTATGTCTACTGTTAATTGTATACGAAGAGTTAAGTGCTCAGGACTTAAGAGGTTACTACTCATCGAAATATATAAAAATGGCGCTTTGTAATCGCTGAAGCGATTTTCGGCCGAGCTCCTTCTCCAATTTGTAGTTTTTTCAACATATGGTGGGAGCAACAGTTTATACTAAACTGCCTGCGAACGGCTGACGATTTTTTATGAGAAGCTTTATTTGATGCCAGAAATACACTCGGAGGGGTTGACATTCCCTGCCGAGGGGCGACCGCAATTATTTAGTATATTTAAATTATTTTTTATTCTTAATAAATAAACTATAAGTTTTTTGGCTGTTACGACGACACCAGGATTTGAACTCGAGTCTTCCGAATGCCAGTACGCAGTGCTCGTCCAAATATATTCACCATCGGCATGGAATGTCAACCCCCCGAGTGTATTTTTGACATGCTACAAAGCTCCTCATAAACACCGTCAGCCGTTTGGAGGCAGCTTAGAATAAACTGTAAGTCCCTCCATTTGTTGGAAAAACATCCAGACACATAACCACAAATTGGGGCTCGGCGGAAAGTCGCTTCAGCGGTTACAAAGCGTCAATTATATATATATACTACTATTCACCATCTTCTCATTCATGTATATAGTAGATAAATATGTATGTATGAATATATGTATTAATATATAAAATAATTTTTTAAAGGTTGTTGTATTTTCTTACAACAATAAAACAATAAAAAATTATTTATTTATTTGCAAGTTGGTAAAGAATATCCACATCGAAATGGAAGACGGAGCGAAACCAAAATAAATGAGTTTTTTTATTTCTTTATTAAGACACAAATAATTGAACCTAATTATAGGAAATATACCAGTACGACAAAAGCTGACTGAAAACGCTATCTCCCAAATTAAAATAGTCATTTTTTTCTGGCAAACTTCTTAACAAGCACCTTTTAGCACTTGTTTCTTCATTTTCATTGAACTGTAGAAGTGATGTCTACACATTTTGGTTTTTATTTTTTCTTAAACTAACAACAAAAAATCATAATGCAGATTGTTGGCCACCACCTTTTTCGCGGGTATAAAAATTAACAGGGTGACAGTGGACTCAGAATACGAAATAGCACAATATTTACTAAATGGTAAATTTTAATACCGAAGTAAAATCTATTACCTCGACAGAATATGCCTGTAAGAGAGGTTAATAAATAAAACTCGGAATATTTAGTTACAAATAAGTGTTTACGCGAGTAGCGTAAATGCTTTAGCGGTTCCTGTCATTTTAGTTTTTGCATTCTGGCATATATGTAAGCATATATTTTACATTATTGCATATATGCAAGAATGCAATTGTCAGGAAATCAGCGAGTGCCTATTGTGTGCAATAGCATTTATCTTCACACAGATGCAGATTTTTGATATCATATTTTCTGCGTCATCCCATTCATACTCAGAAGCCCCACGGGCATTGGGATAAGCCCTACATAAGTTTTGCTACGAGCTTAGTGCTCACCTGAATACCTTGTACATTCTCCCTACGCGCTTAGACAACAATATTAGTAAATTAGTTAGAGTGATAAGATTACTACGAAGTAAATTAATTTTTTAATCGTTTGCTCCTTGTTTGTAAGCCTTTCCTTGGAAATTATATTTACTAACTGTAGTAAGAATGACAAATTCATTAATGTTGAATAGGATTTCTCCAAGCTAAAAAGAAATAGAAACTCAGCTATAAAGACGACTGTCGCTTATACAAATTGTCTGTTTATTACTTAAAGAGGCTTTTGGATCGCCAAAGTCTGTAGCGTAAGAAATATACTCACTCAAAGTGATTATCCCTCAGGTTTGCCTAATTATAAATGTATGTACGTTTCGCCTAGCGCTTTCATGCGCTGGGTTTGGGACCCGCCACGTAGAAACCAGCTTCAGGGAAAAAATTATCAACGACTCGGATGAGATACCCCCTTCCTGTTGACGAGCGCCGCCAACGAATTAAGAATCACGATTTGAGGGCATGCACCTGGAATGTCCCTAATGGGTTGAGGCTGATCGTCTTCGCCGGGCCCAAAATATAGTTGTATGTAGTACTAAATTCCAGCACAAAAAAGTACATTACGATACTTGGCTGTCCCCAGATCGAGAAACACAAACCCAGATCGATCATTTGTGTGACCTGCACACTACGAGAACCCAACATGCACTCGGACCATTATCTTGTTGCAGCGAAGATACCCATGCGCCTCTGTGTATCAAAGAACGCCCGTCAACAAACACAAGGAAAGTACGACGTAGAAAAGCTTCAATCACTGCCGAATGATTTTCTACTCGAATTGCTTTCCTGCTCTCTAAGAGCACTCATCAGCAGCTCGGTATACGGGAACTACGGGACGGCATTTTAAGCTCCCTACGTACATCTGCAAACCAAACTATTGGATTCCGAAAAGGTCACAAAAACAGAGCTGGTACGATGAGGACTGCCGGGTCACAGTGGAGAGAAAACAAACTGTCTACCCAGCAATGTTGCGATCGACCACGACACGTGCGGGATGCGATAGATACCGAGAGATGAACAGGGAAGCAAAGCACATCTGCAAAAAATATATATTGAATTTAAGGAGGGAACACTTCTGCAGCCTGCTGAAAACATGCCCGACTATTGGAATCTAAATATGTTCTGCCCAATCCATAAGAAAAGGGACCCCCTCATTCTGCATCAATTATCATGGGATAAGCCTCCTTAAAGTCCTATCAAGCGTATTGTGTGAGACACTAAAGCCGACCGTCAACAAACTGATCGGACTTCATCAGTGTACCTTTAGACCTGATAAGTCATCCTTCTCTAATAAAAGTGTACAGCTGCTGGCGTACGCCGATGTTATTGACATTATCTATCTTGCCAACAGGTGCTACTTTGGACTGAGTAGGCAACTGAAAAGTAAAGTCCTCTCCCGACGAACAAAAACCAACCTCTACAAGTTCCTCATTGATCCCGAACTGTTATATCGTGCGAAAGTATGGACGTTGACAACATCTGATGAGGCAGCGTTAGGAGTTTTTGAGAGAAAGGCGTAAGATTTATGATCAATTGCGCGTTGGCAACGACGAATATTGCAGACGATGGAACGATGAGCTGTACGAGTTATACGGCGACATTGATATAGATCAGTGAATCAAGAAGCAGCGGCTACGCTGGCTAGATCATGTTGTGCGAATAGATACAAATACTCCACCTTTGGAAGCTTTCGATACAGTACCCGCCAGTGGAAGCAGAGGAAGAGGAGACCTCCATTCCGTTGGAAAGATGAGTTAGGGAATGATCTGGGTGTACTTGGTATTTCCATATGGCGTCAAACAGCAAAAAGAAGAAATGAATAATCGCGCAAGCGATGTCTACGCCAGTAAAGTAAGTAACCAAGTAATATATCAAAGTACCTGCTTTGGAAAAGAAAGAGATGTATGAAGTGCTGTGCTAAGTATTGTCACTGGAGTGATCTTACTACTGTCACTGGAGTTTCAAAGAAATATCATAATAAAATTACAATTGTAGCAAGCATAAAATTTCTGATCTTTTTCTCAAAAATGATTTAACTGTTCTTGAATACTTATTAGTTTGCCTTAAAGTTAAAACGAGTCTAAAAATATAAATGTTAAATTCATTTTTTTTTGAGTTTACTGTATGTTAAAGCATTTTTTACAATGGCAACTTATCTTTACTGTTTTTTTCTGAAATGAGACTATACAAATATTCAAAACATGGGCTGAGAGTTCCGAGTCTAACTACGACAACGAGTTTTTTTATTCTAAATTGGCTTTATTCATCAACTTAGTTTTCATCAAGAGCAACGCAATCATTTCAGCACGGGTGTAAGATTTTAATTTCGCTTTTGTACTTTGTACCTTTGAACGATACTGTGAATGCAATAGAACCAGTGCGATCTATACGTTACGCCCGGAACTTTTCAGCCCACTTGTTATTTCAATTGGCTCATACCCGTCTTATAATTGGCATTTCGCAACTCTCTTAAAAGTAGTTGATATATTGGAAAATTTTAATATTACCTTCATTGATTTGAGTAGTAATTTAGTTTAACTGTTAAAAACATCTGCCGGGCTCCTCCTCCTCCAGTTTATTTTGTGTTGAAGGACTCGGCTGCTATGCGATATGTACTTTAATATATTATATATTTGGATGGCATTTACATATGACTACTATTAACATCTTTATATAGGCGGATGGCTTATTTAAAAATAATTTAAATTTTAACCTCTCTTAAATCTCTATATTTTATTTATTTTAATTTATATCTTTCTTAATTTAAAACCAACTAGAAACTTTAATATTTTTATAATTAATTTTGTTGAACTCAAATAAATTTTAAATTTGTCGCAACCGTTCAAAAGAGAAAGATCCAGTTTGTAAATTTGGATGTCAAAGAATGTAAATACCATAGCACATAATAAGGACTAATGACTGGAGAATTTCTTTCTTGCATATACAAATTCTTACATAGAAAAAGAAGTTGAAGAAAATTGATTTAGTTAATAATAATCAAGTTGAAAAATAAATTTGATTTGATTTTCTCAGTTTGCAAACAATTAATTGGCATACATAGGGTGAACCAAATAATAGTTAAGACGTCACAATTTGATACATTTCTGATCTTTCCTATGCGATGTAGCTAATTATAATAAAACTCTGGGGTTCAGAATTTGTGTCACATATCTCTGAAGCTTTTAGAGATAATAAGCAACCTGACATTATGTACACCGAGTTCAGTAAAGCATTCGATAGGTTTAATCACTCAATTCTCATACTTAAACTAGATCTTCTCGACTTTCAACCATGATTTCTCCAATAAGTATCCTCGTACCTTTGTAATGGATTACAAGGTAGCCATCTCGGCGCGATTCTGTTTCTTCTTAGAATGTGGTTCACTGATATGGAACCCCAATTATCAAGACCATTCCGATAATTTAGAGTCTGTTCAAAAACAATTTTACTTTACTCAACCGTTTAAAGCTTCAAAATCTACCTACTCTCGCAAGTCGTAGAGAAATGTTTGGCGCATTAATCGTAGTGAAACTTCTTCAACGGAGCTTATGGTTTTTGTGTGAAGTAAACTTTAATGTTCCAACTTGCAGTTTAGGCCTTTATTATATGAGTCATATAAAACAAATTATGAACTGAGTGAACCTTTTCACCGAGTATGTCACAATTTTAACTTTCATTCCAGCACCATCGACCTTTCTGACTCACTTTTTAGCATAAAAAAATATATGCTTGCTTCTCTCAAAAATCACATTTTAAAATTCTTTAGTTACAAAATTTCAGCTGTTGATTAAATATTTTTTTCTGTAGATGAACAGTTTCAAACCTCGACATTTAACAAAAGCTTACCAGTCATGATCTCACATACACATTCCGGACGTTATGCGGATATCGCAGGGATAAAATTTGCAGTTTTCAAAATTGTATATTTTTTTAAACGTTATAATACTTAGCTTATTAAAAAATAATTAAAACTTTAACCTCTCTTAAATCTCTATATTTTATTTATTTTATCTTATCTCTTTCTTAGTTCAAAACCACCTGGGTAGAAACTTTAATATTTGTATAACTAATTTAATTACACTCAAATTCAAATAAATTTTAAATTTACAAAAGAACGATTGGAAGACACAAAGTTCAGTTTGTAAATTTGGATGTCAAAGAATGTAAATATTGTATCATAGCATACAATAAGAACTTTAGCCGTATCACACTGAGGGCTGGAGAATTTCATTCTTGCATATATGCATAGGGTGAGCCAAAAAGTGTTTGTTCTGAATCACTGGCAGCTTGGTTTATATAAAATTTTATACAAAGATAGATTTTTGCCTGAGTTTATATGGGACTTTTTCTTCTATTAAAAAAATTTGTATTTATCATTAGAGATGGCGCTATAGACAAAATTTTTCCAAGCATAAAAAATAAGAGATACATCGACAATGCGATTCATTATCTGGTAGAGTTTCTGAACACACTATTGCCTTAAGGCATAAATTAAGACTTGGATTGCCGACAAAATTGTTCAATGGCAGCAGATTACAGGTGAATTTATTGCATCGAAATGTAATCAAACTACTGTACAAACATGTTGCTCTTAAGGACAATCTGTATTTATTCTTAAGATTCCATTAAAGCATTTTTTCCCAATAGCAATAGACACAGACTCCAAATACAGTTTTCTGAATGTTATAAAGCATCAAAACTATGTTCGGCGTGTGAAAAATATTTTAACGAAATATGTATTTTTCAGACAAATAAAGTATATCATATCTATATGCATAAAATTTGGTATAAAAAATTAAATTGGTTTGTTATATATACATTTAGCAACAAATCAACCATTATTCATATAATAACATTATCAAAAAAATTTAAAGATATTAAGTAAATATTAAGGAAGGATTTAAGATATCTGATTCAAGATATCTGCCTGCTTTTCTTTGTATCATGTTGTTTTACTTTAAAATGTCTATAAAGTAAGGCAGGAAGTGAAACAAAGTTCAAAAAACGACACAAAAATATTTTAAAGATGATAAAGTTAAATATATTAAAGTAAAACAGAATTAAATACAATAAATGAAGCACAAAAGGTTAAATATAATAAAATCTATGTAGTATAATAATTTGCTGTTGTTACTAATTATAACTTTTACTAAGCTATTATTAAACATTTTTCCATCGAAACTGTTTATCTCGCACTAATTCTCTCTCTCCATCTCTCTCACCAGGTAATAATTCTCTCAAGCCGTTAAGCCTTTAGCCTGACGACAAACATAGGGTGTGTGCAGGTGTTCATTAGTGCTCACCTAGATTTTATCTTTAATTAGCAGTTAATCAATAATGGGCATATGCAGAGAGAATTTATGTAAAATAAACAAATGCTCGACAAACCGAGGAGGAAAACAACTTTGGATGAATTCAAAGCTGCAGCTATAGGTGTCGTTTCGACACCTAAGAAATTTTGGCTAATATATATGGTTTCTCATACGGCTATGCGAATTTCTTATCTATCGCCACAACTTTTAACGTATTTCACATCGTGTATTTGCACTCATTATTAATCGTTTTTTCATTCTAAAGATTATTTATTGATAGTTTTATCTTCGTGCCTTTTAGTCACTTTTCACGGCGCGTTGCGTCCAACAATTGCTGGAAGCATGCATCCATCCCTAAGTCATGTTACGTTGTACATAAGTATGTGTCCAGATTTGTTTAGATTGTTTCCAAATATTCTCTTTATGTTTTCCACCTCTTGGACTGTTTTTGTGCTTTTATCGTGTGCTTACGCTACTCTTCGCTCTTCTATTTAATCTTTTACGGCAACAAAGAAAAGTTAATTAAAAAAAACACCTCCGTCCCGGCATGATTTATGAAAGTCCCCTCCCCCAACGATTTAAATTTGATCACACATGTAAATATTAAAAAAAAACTGCACTTATTCAAACCAATTTCCTGCTGCCCGTGCCGACTTCCGCTATACCGATTTCTGAGAAATATTTGTATATTTACACGTATGTACTATAGCGAAGCGAGCAATCACGATGGTCTTTTCAATGTCTCTTGCACATACATGTATCCATGGTGAAGCGGTCTGTATGTGGTTATATGGAACTTTTTAATGCACTTTTCTATGCCTTTTTCTTTATTTTTCAGTTTTTCCGCATCACTATTCTATATTTGTTTAAGTTTCAGCTACCAACTCAACCTTTTGCACTTTTAGTGCCAGCCACAATCTCGTCTATTGCAAGTTTTGTTACTTGCGACACACGTACGATGGCAAAAGAATTGAAATCATTACATATTTCTCGGCGTTCATACATTGTGACAGTTACTTCTCAGTCACATTTTGCATACACATTTTCATTTCACTTAGGTGCGTGTTTGCTTTGTATATTTTCCCTAGTTCGTTGGATTAGTTGTGACGTTCGTTTGTTGGTTGACTGGTTAGTCCTTTGGCTCGTTCGTTTTTGTTATGCGCTTCGATTGTTGTCGTAAAAGATTTCGTGATTCCGAACATATAGCAACTGACAATTATCTTGCAATTTGGCTGGCGCCTGACCATCACTTCGGTTTACTAAAGCCACGAGCAACAACATCATCGTTATGTTATTTTAAATATATATGCCCGCGCACCAACAAAATTATTGACTAGTATCATTACAAATGCGAACGACATTTATAATATGAAATATATTAGCCGAAATAGTCGATTTTGCGAAATTAATTCTTTTCGTTTTCATTTTTCTAAAATCACAAGTTAACAAACAAAATGGTTTGTACGCCCGCTGTATGCCATTCTTTCGAAGTGATTATCACACAAACTTCGACGATAATAACAGCATGCCGACTATTCAATTACGAATTTGCACGCACTCACAACAATAAACAATTCATAAAATATATCACAAGAGCAGCATAACTTCATTTACAGCGTTGCCATATCTATTGTGAAAGTATGTAGTTCACAAGTTGTAGCAATATACATTTTAATTTCAAAACATTCAGGAAATATCTCTCCTTAAATTTTCAGATGAAAAACGTCAGATCAATGATATATTTTAAATTATATATATGGCTTAATTTTCACCACAAAATGCGCTCATCAAAAAAAAACCTGATTATAAACTCTAGGTTCCTCTATTTGTTGGAAAAGCATCAAGACGCAAAACCACAAATGGGGGAGGAGCTCGGCCGAAATATCGCCTCAGCGTTTACAAAGCGTCAATTATATATGAATGTGTAAATCAATGTAGCCCAATTCACTTATGATGGAATGTGATTAATTTGGCATTTTGTTAACAATGGCTTTTGTGCTCCCAATTTCACACATTTTCTATTGCCTGCGGCAAATTTAATTTATATATGGGCGTAGTCTGCACAATATGGCTTCTTTCCTTGCCCGAATGTTTAAAGGAATCAGCCGACTACCGTGCGAGAATTCAATTTAACATTTTAGCTGTTTGTTAAAGTAAATAGAAGTTATTATTTTTTTTTTATTTGATTCCAAAAATCTTATTTATGGTTCGATTTACTTGAAATTCGGTACATAGATTGGTCTTTGCTTAGATTAACAGGAAAACTACACTTCTCTCCCAAAGTGGTCAAGATACTATATATACCAATTTAAAAAAAAGGAAGTGGGCCAGGAACTGACATTGAAAAAAATCTAACCACTCTTATCTCCGGGAACTGGACCAAGGACTTACGAATTCGAAAAAAAATGTATTTATCATTCCATTTACATTTAATTCGTAAAACGTGGCGTTTTGCTTAGATTTTCAGGAAGAATTCCCTTTTATGTAGGAAGCGGACCGGGGAGTGACCTATTCGACTAAATCTTAGTTATGATTTAATTTACTTAAATTCGGTGAAAAGTCGGCTTTTTGCTTAGACGAGCAGAGAAAGTACTCTACGCTTCGTAAGGTGGACCAGGGACTGACCTTTTTAGGACACTCTCATTATTGGTGCGATTACGAAACATCTAGTTAAGAATTGCTGAGTGGCGAAGAAAGAGAGAAACAATGATCTCAGCGCTGCTCGCTCAATCAAGGAGATTGCGTACGGACTGGTTCATTGACATGGATACACTGCCTACACGTATAATATATGACCAAAGACATATCGTTTATAGAAAACTTAGGTGTGCCAAAAATACTGAAGGAAGTAATAATTACTAATGAGAAAAAAAATAGATTGTGTAGGCACAGTTAAACAGGCAGTGATGAATAACGGCCCTTCTATAGAAATACAATAAATAATGTTTAATTTGTGCCAAATATGTACACGTATATGTGCGAACCTTTTATCAGTCAACCAAATGATGAAAATTAATACCGACTTGTTTACTAAAAGTTGCTGTAAAATATTCGGCACGCACTGGAAAAAAATTGAAACAGCAAATTAAGTGAATAGTTTGTCTAAGTTAGACATTGCTCGAAAAGTCAGATCTTTTACAGCAAAAGAGCCGAGCATCCCAAATAAACCCAGAACTGAACTTTGTTGTCTTTCGACTAAATTAAATTTTTGAAAAACGAAATAAACAATTGTGTGATTCTAAAAAGTAGAATGTTTGACACGTGTTTCAAAAGAAAACAAAACCGTACCCTATTCATCGACGGAGAAAATCGGGCACACATAACTGGAAGTGATACATACAGGTCTATTCTGTCGATGTAACAAAGTTTACTTTGGTATTAAATTTCATCATTAAGTAAATTTTGTTTCTATTTCATATTCTAAGTTCACTGTTACCCTGTAAGTTTTGAAACCCGCGAAATAGGAGATAACAAAAAATTTGCTGTTTGATTTTAATTTTTTAATTAAGAAAACAATTTGTTAAAGAGCTTATAAACGAATTGGCACGGTTTTAGCTGTTCATTTCCATTCATAATTTTTAAATGAAAATTTTTAACAGAAGACATCCTTTTCGCTTCCCTTAAAAATATATTTATTTTCCCACGGGTCGAAGGAATGTGTTGGGAGCAATTGTGTAATTGTTATGAGCCAACCTTCTGTTTCGCGATCACTGTACTATATTTCAAATTTTATTGTCGATGTAAAAGCCAACAACAAATGATTGCAAATATATATTTGAATATTCTTCTTTTTACTTTACCAATTGGCAAATATAATTTGACATAGACGTAAATAGCAGTGCTGCCAAAGTTTTTTCAAACAATATAACCAGTGCGCTAAAATATTAAATTCAATCTCGGAGGTTTAAAAAGTAACAATATTTACTTTGACGCTTGCGGTCCACTGCCAGATAAATCATTTAGTGGATGCAAATATTTTGTGACTTTCGTCAAAGAAATGTTTTATATATATATAATCAAAAATAAAAACTTAAAATTTTACTGTGTGCTGATAATGGCACAGAGTAATGCTATCATCAGTTTCAAATATTTTCCGAAGCGAAAACGAAAATTTGCATCAGAAAACAGCAAACGCGGACTGTATAAAAATGCCGAACTATTAAGGTGAATATAAATAAGTAGCTGACCCGGCGAGCTCTGCTCCGCCTTAAGGGCAATAAATAAGCCGATTTTCGAATTCATAAAGCTAATTTTTTTATTAATCTTTTTCTGCATTTCAGTACATTGAAGCCTTTTAATTTTCCTTTCAGTATCGTCGCGTAAATTACATTGTTCATCAATATTGTAACCACCAAACGCGCACAGTTGGACAGTTTTGGTTGGTTAATATTTCGAAACATGATTACTACGGAGCCAACCTTTAGACGTAAATTGTTCGGTGGTAAACCAGGCACATCCAAAGAGTTAAAAAATTCAATTGGATAGTTTGTGGCTTCACCTTCATTTGTGTCGCAGTCGATAGATTTGAATGAATTATTGTATATAGTTTAGGTCGTACACATCTTTATTCTTAGCCGCTGAAATTGCTCGCTCACTCGAACATTCATTATTTTTGTAGTTCGAAGATGATCATAAGTTCGTCTTTTGATGGGATAAAATTACAGAGATTATTGGGAAATGATATCAATCCGCTCGATTCATCAACAGGTAATTGACCAATACCGATAGTCTGCAATTTCTCAGAGAAATCTTCTGCAGATGTACCATTAAGCAACGCAACTCTCATGTTTGTTGTCAGGTGCAGTTTCTTCACATAGCGCCATAGATTAGACGATTTGAGGCAGTCGTTTATTTAGTCGGCAGCAGTAGATCTTGGACTCACTGGCAGTGTTTGTCGGGTGGGGTTCTTCAATAGTTTGAGGATTAAACGGTAATCTTTATGTTGGATCAGTCGTACGGTATCTTTCTAATAATCTTGCTGCGCTTCCAGAAGAAGCAACTGCAACCGTTATGTTGGATCTCTCACGAACAGTGGCTGGGGAATGTCTTACCACCAGGGGCATCCAGGAAATATAAGCCATCATTTCTGTCACCGATTGCCTTCATTAAAGGATCATTAACTTCTTTTTGTTGGGAATTCATGAGGGGTACATTCGTTTGAACTACAAAGTCTACTTCCTGCTGATCATATTCACGTTCCCTAATTCTCTATTAAATGTGCCATTCATTTCGCAATTGGGCTCTGGCACTCCTAACCTGATTAAAAAACTACTGCACATGAGGTAACACATATCTTCGATCAAGAGTAAAGCACGATTATATATCTCCTCATTCATCTCAACATCTCGTAATTTCTGGAACGAATTTGATGTAAAATACCTGCTGACATTCGGAAGGCCCGGGTACATATTCCGGTGGCAGCAACATCTAAAAGTTATAAAAAATTAATTTAAATAAAAAATCAAATCAAATTTTCTAATTGCGGTCACCCGTCGGAAAGGAATATCCACCCCTCCGCGAGCTTTTCGGACATGAAATAAAGGCTGCTCATAAAAAACCATCAGACGTTCGGAGACGTCTTAGTATCATATAAACTGTAGGTCCCTCTATTTGTTGTAAAAACTTCAAGATACAAAACCACAAATTGGAGAAAGAGCTCGGCCGAAAAATCGCTTCATCGCTACAAAGCGCCAAATATATAAATATATGTTTATACCCAGGAACCGCATTGCCTTGCTTCCGTCTTTGAAAATTCTTCGATGGAGCATTCCAAGTATAATAACGTGGCACCTCTGAGTAAAGCAAGGTGTTTCAGCACGTTGCAAAGCATCCGAAGAAGTGAAATATACTCGTTGAATATGATCCAGATGCACCACCAAATGCCCAACAGTATGATGACGTTCGTGTATATAAGGAATGCAAATGAACACCAAATCCCTTTATTACAGTTTCCATAACGACCAACTAGATAACGTTAGTATCTGATCCATATCGCTGCCTTTCGTGACATATTTGCAAATATATTTTATAAACTTTACTGTGTCTTGAACCTTTTAGAAATAAGATTTTTACTTTTGTTGTGATCGTTAGATCGTTGTCATCATGTGATCGACGCCGATACAGCGGATAACCATCGTTACTAGTGACGGTCTCCGCCATAAATTTCCATGGATATCATTTAGAGCTTTTTCAGTCGACCATACAAGGTGATTGGGGATCGATGGCGCCACATGGCCCATGAATAATATTTGTAATAACAACATTATGAAGGACTGGATCGGTTTCATGGTCAGGAATCTCGGCACATATAATATCATCTAGTTGGTCAGGTTGAATTCTTTTCATTCGATGCATCCAGCGTCGAGTATGTCCAAAGACGCGTTGTTCAACAATGAAGTCCATCAGGGACCAAATTTTTTTGCCTGAATATACGTGCTGTAATGTCATGTCTATCACTTGATGTTTGTCCGGGAAGCAGCAATTGAATAATTTTTATCCATTTTGGACTACAGGTAAAAGTAATAAATAGATCTGGCCGATCGTAATGTCGAACATCATTGTCATTGCATCTTTCCCATATTCATGTATATGACGTGGACTACCAATGTATGTCGCCGGCAGAACAGTTAATCGACCAATATTAGCTGCATTTCC